CCCACACATCCTTCCACTGTGGCCTTCTGGCCTCCCCTGGGGCCAGAAACGATGTAGCCAGCTGACTATGGACTGCAGCCTCTGAAGCTCTGAGCGAAAGGTGATGTTTTCAGCTATGCAGTCATAGTAACAGAAGGCTGCCACACAGGAGGAGAGGAGGACGTTCCAGGGACCAGGTAAGCGGGAACTTCCTGGTGATCCCCAGAGGTGCTCCTGCGTGAGTGACTGTCAGGCGCAATACGGAGAAGGCTCCTGCTTCAATGGCCTGGGTCACATATGCTCCCACCACCAAAACATTTGGAGCTCTGTGATTTCAGGCATACATACCGGCAGCCACTTCCCAATATCTCCTGTGTGAAGCCAGCCATCACTGTCCAGGGCCTCTTTTGTCCTCTCCTGGTCTTTTAAGTATCCTTTGAATACATTTGGTCCTTTCACACATATCTGTGGGGAAAAACACCATGGCTTCTCTCAGTCACAGTGGATGAAAGGCTGTCACCAGGCACATGGAGACGAAGGGACACTGTCCATCAGGAAAACCACCATGGAAACTGTGGCAATGGAAAGAAGACAAGAAACACCTCCCCGCTGTCCCCTGCCTTCTCTCACACAGTATCCTCCCTGCCCCAGCCAAACTTCTTCCTATGCCGTCTCTTCTTCCTCAGGAGGCCTCTGGCCTAGGCCATGTGGATCTATGTGCATTCAGTGGGGTCTTATAACAGATACTGGGGGTTGGCTGATTCTGCTAGAGAAGCTTGATTCTTTTGCTTCATTCCTAGGCAACCAACCTTCCCACCCACCCTGGAGAGTGGGCAAGCACAGGCCAACTCAGGCCTCGGAGTGGCCATGTTTCTGTGGGGACAGATGATACAGCAACAGGCCACGCAGCAGGAAAAAATAGGGGTTGTTTTTAAGTTTGGAAATTTACAATCTTAATTCCGGCTTATTCAGTCCAAGCATTTGGTGTTGGTAGAGTTAGATTAACCAGTCATTTGAAATGGGAAAGGTGAAAGGAAGTTCCCTCCCAGGATTTTGTTTCTCTGTTTTTACTCACTACATATAGCGTTCACAGATATGAATAGCTGAGTCTTGGGATTTACCTCTCCCTCTCCTCTGTGGGTCCAATAGTTTAGTTCCTCCACATCGACAAGCTTGATGTGGTTGCAGGGCAGAGGAGCCCCTACATGTCCTAGAACATCAGAGCAAGAGGGCATTTGTCAGTGTTCATACAAACTTCAGCACTGAAGATACCTCATACCCTATAAAGCCCCCCAAATGAGTGAAGCAGGGATTTATAAATGGACAGCAACATACCTCAGGATAAGCATTTGTTCCAGGCAAGCGCGGCTGATAAAAGTGAATTTCTGGAGAAAGCAAAGGCCAGCCTCTGCCTTGCCTTTGTTTATATGTGATTGTGAATGACCAGTCATGCACAATCGGGGCAGCACCAATGTGAAGAGAGGCCTTGCCTGAGGCAGAGACCTGATATCTACACCAACTGTGTGCTTGGTTTAACAACAGTGCCCACATCAAAACACTTTCCCCATAGTCATATCACAGTTTGGGCTCCCTCTAGTCAACAGACTATTGCTTAACATGCATAAGAATGACCTAGACCTCTTGTAAGTTGTGGATGCTGATTCAGTAGATCTGGGATGAGGCATGAGATTTTACACTTCTCATAGGTGCCATGCTGGTGCCGATACTGATGGTCTACACACTATGCTTTGAGTAACAAAGAAATAGAAAACTGAGGCAAGGTTACTTGTCCCCCCAAATAAGACTACAGATTTTCTTAACACTTACATACTCCAACCACAGTATTATCTCTTTTTTTTTTAAATTTTATTTATCTATTTTATTTATTTATTTGTGTGTGTGTGTGTGTGGCCAGCTCAGCCCACCAGGGGGCGGGGCTGGCTGGCATGTGGTGCTGGGGGATTGAACCGCGGTCCCTGTGCTTTGCTAAGCTTGTTCTAAGTAGGTGCTTTAGACCACTGAGCCATCTCCCTAGCCCCCACAGTATTATCTCAAGTCATCCTCTAGTTATTGTGATTGTTACCTAATTCACTGGTAAGCACCTTTACCCAGGTGCTGGCCAAGGTCCTGAAAGAGAGATGCACTATATACTGGATATGAAAAAACAAGGCTGTGATACTTTGGTTTCTTCTAAAAAATTAAAAAAGCTTTACATCGGAAAATGTACAGGATGACATCAAAAGAATAAAGAAAGGACCAAAAGGAAGTATTCACTTTAGAATGATTGGTCAATATGCTGGCAGCAATAAGAAAAAATAAACAGTGAACTAGGATCTTCAAAGATGGTTCTTGAAAGAGATCTGCCAGGGCAGAGTGATTAGAAAATGTATATCCAAAACAGCCTTTATCCACACAGAGTTCAAAAGGAGATAACTTTTATAAAAGTTCCACCATACTTGTCTTGGTCAAATTTGATTTTAATTTCATATCCATATATTGTTTCTACTATCTCTAGGCACCTGGAAATAGTGGTCCACTTAGGAGCATATTTTTTTTAAATGCCAATTAGTCCAAATTTTCCAGTTTTCAGCTGAGCAAATGTAAGCACCAAGAGTGGTCCCAGGATCACACAGGAGGTTGATAACCCCTGAAGAATTCCTATGCTGCATGTCTTTTAGATTCTTTCCTTGTGTAGTTTAAATATGATGAAGGGCAATTCGTGGGCTACCCACTCCAGCCCTACTTCCCCTGACCTGAAGGATGACTTCTGAGAACAGCTATGTGGATGGGGGAAGATCCTTTCTGAAGGTGTCCCTGCCTTCTAAGTTTTTTTTTTTTTTTTTGCTCCGAATGCCCTCAGGGGTGGTTTGGCTGGCTGGAGTGTTGTGGGGATCGAACTACAGCAACCTGAGGCTGGAAGCTTTGTGGAAGCAGCCACTTAAACAACTGAGCTAAGGCCAGGCCCCATGTCCCTGCCTTCTAGATATTAACGTCACAGGAGACCACAGCTCCTGAGGAGCCCTTGAAATGTCCCTTTAGGAAGCATTTTTGGTTGCTATGAACCTGCTCCTCTTTTGCAAGTCATACCAAGTCAATCTGCTTCTCCGATTCTAAAAAATAGTTCTAAAGCAACTCTAAGCAGGGTTGGGTGGTGTCGAGAGCCTACAAAGTTCAATGTGCTCATATTATGAGCATTTTCTACCTGGAGTTGTATCTTATGATTGTGTGTGTGTGTGTGTGTGTGTGTGTGTGTTCTATTTGTCTATAAAAGTAGGAAAATATACACATGTATAGCAAAGAAAACAACAACAGGTCCATATTATCACAACCCACACCCAAGCACCATCAATGCTCTTCTGTTCCTTTTGCTTTTTTCCCAAGCTCTCATTAAATGTCACCTTCTGGGAGCAAGTTCTGGAGCATGCTGCTCTGACCCAGGGGCTCTGGGTCCATTCCCATGTCTCCACCCCACCTACCTGAGGTCCAGTCTCCAGGTGTGGTGAAGGTGCATCCCGCCGTACATTCTGTTTGACCGTACCCTTCATAAACCTTCAAGCAAAACATGAAAACCACGCAGGCTGTGGGCAGCCCTCTCTCACTGACTGTCTGGGTGCCCCTGGGTGCCCTGTGGGACAGTGTATCTCTGGGGGACGGTAACTGCAGGTGGAACTGAGCACATCAACATGGCTGTAGTTGCTGGGCAGAAGTCATATTTTTGCCTAGACACTTAGTAGACAAGTTTATGTCCTTTGGAATAAAGATTTCTAAGCTGCTTTCAACCACTGACTTTCTTTTTACTTGGAAAATGAAAATACACACTTAATTTTGTCTTTGCAAGATGCTCCCCCCAAAGCCCCCACGTCTGCACGGACGCCCACTTGGGACACTCTGCCTTGAGAACGGCCAGGCCATGACAGTGTGGAGCAGGGCACAGTGTAAGAAGCTCGTGGTCTCCAACATATAAAACTTAAAGCACACACAATATGTAAAAGATATGTTCCCTTGACTTGCAACTATCCAGGAGGCTTTCACACTCTGCCTCGTGCTGCTGCTGTCTCTCAGTGGGAGGTATTTGCAGGCTGGAGAGTGTAGCTATGTGTGTGTTGATTCTTCAGCACACTGAGGCTTCCTACAGTTTACCTGTCCCTCTCCCCTTTGTTAAAATCCTTCAAAGGCCCAGTTAAAAGAATTCTCCAGAAGGCATACACCTAGGCTGTGTGTGTGTGTGTGTGTGTGTGTGTGTGTGTGTGTGTGTTAATGAGAGCAATCCAGAGCCTCCTGCTTAGCTACATCCTCCAATCCTATTTTGATTATTATGAGACAGAATCACTAAGTATGACCCGACTCAAACTATTTTCTTCTCTTTTTTTATTAGTGTATGCTTGACAAAGCTAACAAATACACTTATGGTGGGGAACTGGTCCAAACACCTATCCAATCATGATGGTTTTTTTTTTTTTTTTACTTCTCATCTCCCTCCCTCCCAAACCTGTCCTGCCTCAGCCTCCTGGAGTTCTGGGATTGTAGGTTTGCACTACCTTGCTTGACTACAACCAGGCTTTCTAGCAGACAAGGTCATCCTGGCCTTTGGCTGGGATTTTTTTCATCCTTGGAAACAGAATCTTTTGTCCCACAAAAATCTTGACCCTGGTATTTTTCTCTATACACTGGAGGGTATAAGAGTTTTTCTAACAAATAGCCCATGGTCCCCAGAAAAGGTCACAGACGATATACCTGACACCCCAGAGCTGCCCGGAGGAATCCCAGGACTGTTGGCGATGCAGGCGCTGCTCCAGTGACAATCATCCGCACACGTCCACCAAGGCTGGCCTGGGAGAAGAGAGGAGAACTTGCCAGTGTTTGTGATGGCTGAGATCATGTCCAGCCCATCTCAGCCTCACTCCAGGTCACTATTCAATAACTGGGCCCTCCCTGGATGCTCCGGTTCAGATCAGAGGGAGATCCATGAGCTGAGAAAGCCTTTTCCCTTCCAATTATGAAACCTGATGAACCCTGCAATTTAACCCCCAATATAACCAACTCCCTTATGCCTTTGGGATCGGTGCCACAGCATTAGCTCAGGCAGCGCTCTGTAATACTGGTTCTCTTTTCCCCTAAAATACACAGCTGCTCGTGTACTCATCATTCACCAGCATCCACACCAATTACTTAGGACAGTTTCTTCCAACTTCTACTTTAATGGGATTGCTTTTTCTTCATGCGCAAATCAATACCATGCTGTATTTACTATGCAATGCAGAGGACAAGGGATACTTGAAATGCTTTGCTTTTGTAAGTTGAGCCAAGAGTTTAAATATTAATTTTCAGAGCTAAAAATATAGTAGCAGGAAAAATGTGTGCAATGCTACTAATTATCTACAGATTCCTTGTGTAATGCAAGGGGGAAGACGATGGTAGAGATAAGGAAATGAGTAATTCGGACGTGGCCTAGTGTGGGAGGAGCTGAAGGGGCAGGAAACAAGAAAGGACGATTTCTGGCCTTCTGGCTTCAGCCTGGTGCTGCTGGGAAGTCACAGTGGCCAGGGCTACAGGGAGGGACAAAAGAACTTTCAGGCCTGGGAGCACCTAAGTGGACCGGAAGACCAGAACACCTAAGGACAAAGCTACTCTGTTGCCTGTGGAGGTCAAGGTCCTGCCTTCCAGGGGTCCTTCTTGCTGGTTGCCTTTGGTGAACAAAGCGCACCTCAAAAAAAAAAAAAAAAAAAAAGACGGCTTCAAGATTCTAAGTAGCTTAAGGTTGATTTAATGACCAAATGAGCTATCGACTCATAAGACTACAGGCCACCGGGGCACACTTGGCTGGTCCCCTATAAGGTCCCCTACAAGCTACAGGGGTCACCTAGTAACCTCTTATTAGTTTCCTTACCTGAATCTTATTAAAGAAGAGCTCATCCCAGATACTATTATTCCTGATGATTCCGCTCTGGACCTCGGCCTGCTTGCGCTTTGCCGCAAACTCCAGGAGCCAGCGCTTCAGTGGCGTGTCGGCCTGGCTGAAGATCTGAGGAGCCCAAGGCAGAAAATGCTGTCAGGGCCTGAATGTCTCACCTCTAAAAATGTCCCTCAGGACAAAGGCCTCGACTGGCCAGCAGAGAAGACATGCACTGTACCAGTTAGAGGTCACTGAAAGTGTGACATGAAGTGTGACGTGCCCAAGATCTGGGCGTAATGTATAGACACTCTTGAAAAAGCCTTCTCCAAACAGGCTTTGAAAAGTAGAAATAAAACAGGGGAAGGAAAAGCAGGAAAGAGGGAGCATGAGAAGAGGCAACTTGCAGGAGGGATGTGTGGAAAGCCTGCGGGGCGCTCCAGATGTGCAGCCTCTCCCTGCTGCGGACTCCCGCCGGGCTCACCTTATCATACATCCGGTTCAGCAGTCGCGGGACTACAGGGAAGATGGTGGGGCGTAGAGCTTTCATATCATCTGAGAGGAGGCGGATGTCTCCTTGGAAGAAGCCAATGCGCCCTCCATGGCAGTAGACGACAGACTGGAAGGAAAAGAGGACGCCCTTAAGGTGGTCCTCTTGGCTGCAGTTCAGAGCTGCCCTCTATGGAGGGCACCCATCACCCCCAGCCCAGCTCTGGCTACTGCCAGGGGCCCCTGAAGAGTGCTATCAGGGTGACACGCCCCAGTCTTCACACTAAGTCTTACTCAGGTGCAGGGAGAAGAGAAGGGGTAGAGTGCTGGCTGAGCTTCAGTGAGATCTAAGTAACCACTCAACGTTGCCTGCCCTCTCACACCTACTTCCAAACCCTGGAGAACTCAGCTCTCTGCTTTGCGTTACACTTGGGTCTGCTCCAGGTCCCAGAGAACCTGAGTGGTCCAGGGCCATCTCTTGGGCACCTCTGTGCTGCTACAGTTGGTAGTGGGTGCTGTTCAGAGGGAGGTCAGAGGTGTCTGGCTGGTCACTAATGGGACTGGGAGCCCCCAGGGCCTTTCCATGTGCTCTTGTAAGAAGTACCGCAGCACCCCTACCAAGGAGGTAGTCTTCCTAGTCTCCCTTTACAGTGGAGGAAAGCGAAGCTGGGAGGGCTACAGTGACTTTGCCCAGGCTCACAAGGCGAGGCAACAGTAACAGCTTCGCAGCCTAGGCCTGGAAGATGCAGAAGCACATTCCTTAGGCAAAAGGGGTGAGGCTTCAAAGGTATCTTTTTCAGTTTATTTGCAAGCATCTCCCTGGAGGTACACGGACAGAATTCTCCATCCCCTAATCACACGTGGACTCCTCGCTCACTTTCGTCCCAGTCCTATGAGGCCTATCCTCAGGCTACTCCAAAACCAAGCCCCACCTGAAGCCTGAGGAGCCCTGGCAGTTGGATTCTCGGCTTTACTCTTCTGTTCTCTTTTTAGGAGTCAGGACTTGTGAGGATTTGGGGCGGAGGTGTGCGGGCCCTACATGTGTCTGAGCTGCACAGCTGCAAAGCTCTCAGGGCAGGTGCTGCCAGCAGGGGTCTCTCCCAGCTGGGGTGCATCCAAGGACAGGCCTTCAGGTCCTATCTGCAGTAATGCTTCTATGAGAGACAGGTGGACTATCCAAGCTCCTCAGGCCCCCCTAGCCCCTGTGGTACCATCTAAGGACAGGGCATTTAGGTCCTGCTCCATGCCACCAGTGACAAGTGCCACCCTGCCAGGTCATGGGTTCTAGGCACAGAGCGTGCCTACCTGACGCCAGGGCCTTACCTGCACCATTCGCTCAAACATGTGAGCTAAAGGCAAATAGGAAAAGTGCACATCCGCACAAGTGGGAGCCCACTGACTCTGTAAGAAAACAGAAGGAGCCCAGGCAAGCCCCAGTCAGCCGGGCGGGCGTCTTACCTGGATCACTCTCTCAAACATGTGAGCCAGAGGCAGGAAGGAGATGAGCACATCGTCCTGTCTCGGAAAGATCACTTTCTGCAGGTGACGGGCATGGGAGACAGAAAGGAAAGAAACACTGACAGGAAGACAACAAGAGAGTCATAAAACAATAAAGAGAAATGGTCCTGGAGGGGCAAACAGGAAGAGGGGAAGGGGGATGGGAGAGATGAGGACAGAAAGAGGTGAGATGGGAGAGTGGGAAAAAAATGAGAGGGATAGAGAGAGAGAGAGAGAAGGTGCAGAGAGAGAGAGAGAGAGAGAGAGAGAGAGAGAGAGAGAGAGAGAGCAGCATAGGAAGCGGAGTGTTAGGTCGCAGCGCCAGTGGGTCTACGTTATCTGCAGAAGCAAAGAGCCAAATGAAGCACACATAAACCGGCAGAGGCAGGCTCCGCAGAAGTCTCCTCTAGGGAGGGCCTACACTTCCCTGCAGTTAGTCAGTGCCAGCCTGGGCTCTTCCCTTCCCCCCACAGCGGTGAGATGCCCCAGACCTGTTCCCCCAGGCTCCCAATGCCTGCGCCAGCTGAGGCCAGGGTGTGAGCCGGGAACAGAAAAGGAGACAAGGCCAAGTCCAAATAAGAGGCCAAAGCTGGTCCTGTGGCCCATGACCTGGAATCTGGTCTTAAGGGAAATGTGGAGAGGTGCCCCAGTCCTGCCTCACAGATGGGACTCCCCCTGGGACAGCGGCTGCCCTGGCCCGGTGGGGGCTGTGTGAGGAAGCTTCCCTTTACAGGGCTTCCCCGGTCTCAGCTTTTATCACAGAGGCCCTCGCGCTCCTGGCCACCTCTTTGGCCAATCTGGACAAACCCTGGGAAGTGGCTCCTGGCCCTAACCCGGGCTCAGCCACCAACCATTTCGCAGGGTTTTCTGCCAAAGTATGAAAGTGTTTTGGGGGCTGATGTTCCACAATTACATCTAGCATGCACGTGGAGAAAGATGCTCCATGAAAAGCCCAGTTTCTATGAAAAGGTACGCTCTTTTCTCCTGAGGGAATCTGCAGAACATACTCACCACACATGGGGGAGGTCCTCCTTTCTTAGCCGGTTATAAGACACTAACATGCTTTTGTCAGGCCAAGATATCAAGCTTTTTTTTGATTTTAGATTTACCTTTAAGTACAGCCTTATAAATTAGCAGTTGCCGTTGGTTCTCAGACTCTAGTAGTCCTTAAACACAAAATGACTGAATTAAACCCTGACCTACTTGAAGAACAAGTTATTAAGGATTACTTCCTAAATACAGGCACACATATATACAACCACAGGTATCTCAATTTTTGAAGTTGAAAATGAAAGAAAAATAGGTTTACATGCTTTTTCCCCCTGGAATCTTAGCACTCTCAGAAACCAATCAAATGTTTGTCAGGTATGGGTCATTTCAGTACTTGGAGTTAAAAGTAGCTGCAAAAGTGGGGTTGATCTACTGAGAATAGAAATTCCTGGATATGAATTGCAGTCCAGATTGTATTAGGAGGAAAAGAAAAAATAATAAATTAAAAGAAAAACCCTGAGACTTTGAAGTTGTCCTTAAGCAACACCAGTATAGTAAGTTGACTTTATTCACCTCTGTCACTTTCAGAAAGCCTGAGAAATCAGCCACCACGTTCCCATGGGTGAGCATCGCACCTTTGGGGTTCCCTGAAAACAGAAGAAAGAAATCAGTTGGGAGTTCAAGGACCACTCTCCAGAACACAGTGGCATCCCCAGATGCCAGGCCTCTGACTTTTGCCGTAACCATGTCCTGGGTCTGAGACTGTATCTCAGATCTCCTTCCGCCTCCCTCAAGGGGCCCAAGTGCTAGGCCTCCGGTCCTCCTGTGCACGCCTGCCCGGTGCCCACGGCAGCTAGCTCTCTAGGCCTGTGCAGTGCTATATGCCAGCAGAAGTCTTTCTTGCTACATCTGGTGCTTGGAAAGCGGCGGGCAGCCCCTCCTGCCTGCTCAGCGGCCCAGACGGAGCACCAATTTGTTGCTTTGCTTAATGAAAACTTTCAGTACTGCACCTGAGGCCTGGGCTCCCTGGTCTTCCAGGCGCTCAAGGGAGCTGGAGGCTGCTAGGATGACTCTGAGGAGAGGGGCAGGACACAGCAGGCTGGAGAGGGGGGTAAACACTGCCACCAGTCATGTCTGGGAGACACAGCCTTGATTTGCTGAACAGGCTTAAGGGGCTCAAATCCCAGCCAGGAGGGCATCAGTAGGTCATTTCTCCCATCTGAGTTTTCTTACCTGAACAACAGGGTTAATGATGCCCAGCTCAGAGAACTGCTGTAGGCTGACATATAATCTACATGTTAAATTAAATGTTTCCCTTGAGGCAACAGGTACAATTGCTACTTAACTCCAAAAGCAAGAGGCAAGACCACATAGAGAATTCACCAGGAAATAGCAAATAATGCAATGGTAACTTTGCAACCCTTACCCAGAGGAAATTATAACAGGGCTAAGTGAGTAGGGATTAAGATAAAGTACACTCAGTTTAGACAGGTGTGGCAGCAGATGCCCTTTAATCTCAGCACTCAGGAGGCTGAGGCAGGAGGATCATTATAGGTTCAAGGGCAGCCTGAAGTACATAGGGTGACCCTGTCTCAGAAAACTAAAAATAATAAAAATACTCAGCTTGGGCTGGTGAGATGGCTCGGTGGTCTAAAGCGCCTACCTAGAACAAGCTAAGCTGAGCAAAGCACAGGGACCGCGGTTCAATCCCCCAGCACCACATGCCAGCCAGCCCGCCCCCTGGTGGGCTGAGCTGGCCACACACACA